TCTAATGGTGTTTGTAAATAGGATCACAAGTCCGCATCTTGTACAATTAACCACTAAGAAGAATATATGCAGTGTATTATTTGTTGAAACTGTACTTCCAATTTGATTTGAAACTGTCTCATTGCTGTTTATCAATAAAACTTTGAAAAAAAAAGAGAAAAAAAATAGAAACAAATTGGGGATGAGGCCTTGGGTACAGTCCCCAGTGGCACAGAAACAAAACAAAACAAGTCCACAGCAACTTGCTTAGCAGCCTGTGCATGCATTTGTTTGTAGTTTATGGGACTTATGTGTTGTTTATCCACAGAAGAACTTCCGAGGATACAGATTACGCTGAGTCTCCACTGCTCAGTACTATGTCTGATGCAAGGAGGCATGCAGCTGTCTGAATGAATGAGTTGCCCTAGCGGGGCCCAGAGGACTTACGCGCCAAGTCCTTGTTGTAGACACACAGGAGTTTCACTGTCTTACTCCTCTGGCTGTAGCTGACTTCTCTAAGCTCTGTGTGTGTGTGTGTGTGTGTGTGTGTGTGCGTGCGCGCGCATGCATGTATGTAGCATTCAGAAAATTATTTTAAATTTCTGTTTGATTTGTTGATTTTCTAGAAACAATTAGGATTTTAAACTTTCTAAACTAAAACTCCTGTAAGAAACATGAATTTTAGGTCCTGTAAACAACAAAGCAAGCAAAAGGGAGAGAAACTCAAAGCTTGGTGTGTTCTCTTGGTCCCTTTTCCAGGCAGGTCAGGAAATAGAATCAGCTGTTCTGTGGTGTCTGGGCTGGGCACGCCACCTCATCCTGGCCCGTGGAGTGGCACTGCCCTCTGGGGCTTCCTCAGTCACAGAAAGCTTCCTGTTTATTTTTGAGCTGGGGTCTCACTGTACTGTCCAAGCTGCCTTGAGCTTCTGGGTTCAGGTGGTTGTCCTGCCTCAGTGTCCTGACAAACTGGACCAGAGGAGTGTTCTGCCGCAGGTGGCACAGCTTATGAGCTTCCTTCCTCTCCCCCCATCGCCCCCTGAACTGGGGATTGAACTCAGGCCCTTGCACTTGCCAGGCAAGTGCTTATTCTACTGAGCTATCTCCCCAGCCCCCCTTATGAACTTTCTAATGGGAGATTTTGGAAAAATCATCTTCTTGTCTGAGCAGGAAGTTCTGGCCAAGGTGTGGATGGTGATCGAGGTTCTGTGTACCCCAAATGGGACACCTCCTTCCTGACAGAGTGGGAGCTACTGGCTCTAGTACTGGAATTTCAGGGTTAAATTAAATTTTATTCTTGCCATGAAGGCATGGCATTTTCTTTAAACTCATGTTTGCTGTTCTTTGTGTTCACTGCACAAGAAGTACTACTTTTGGGACATCCACCTTCCCCAAGTGGTTTCTGCTCTAAGCTGTCTTGCTGTGATTGAAGGAGCCCAGGGTGGTCACGTCATGCAGACAGAACAGAAAGCGAGCAGCAGGAGAGGTAGCTTTATTTTGGATGCACTTAGCGTTGTGCTTCTGTTTTCCTTCTCTGATGAAACCTGGCCAGACAGACGCTATTTGTTACGTGGTTGGCATTTAAGAACAAGTTGAGGCCAGTTGGAGATGGCGTAGAGCAGTGTTGGTGAGCCTGTGGTGTGGGTGCTGCAGTGGGCCAGTGCATCACTGGCAGTACTGAGAGAGTTGTCATCTTCTATACAGATGTAGCTGACCACGAGTGCAGGGAGAAGTTTAGAAGTAGATTTTTTAAAAGTTCATTTTTAGTTTTTTTTATTTTTTTTATTTTTTAGGGAAGGGTATACAGGGTGTTCAGAGTCTCACTACTAGATTGGACTTGTAGTGATCCGCCTGTTTACAGTCTCCGAAGAGCTGGGATTACAGGCGTGTGCCACCATGCCCAGTCTCAATTGCCCTCTCAGACCACCCAGGGGCGGGGCTGGCACAGCAGGTCTGGGGATTGAACCTCTGGCCCCTGCACCTGCTTGCAGGCATTTAATCTGCTGAGCTATTTGGCTGGCCCTAATTTTAATTCTGATCTTGATTTTTTTCTTTTTACATGAAAGAAAACCAAAGTCTAAATCTTCAAAGTTATAGATGCCTTGAAGGTGCCCCAAGAGCCTTTGGGCTTACCTGCATTAAGATTCTTAGCCAGGTGTGGTGGCACACACTTGTAATCCCAGTGTTCACGAGGTTGAGGCGGGAGGATGCTGATGAGTGTGAGGACAGCCTGGCTACATAGTGAGCTTAAGGCAAACCTGAACTCTGCATAGCAAGCCCCTGTCTCAAACACGCAAGTAAGCAAATGATTCTTAGCATTATCAAAAAATGGAAACTAGTGTATAGTGTAGTGAAATTATGAAATGATGAATTTATAAAGTATGTTACATGAACATAGTATAGATTTAAATTATATATCAGCATTGTTTGCTTTCTTTCTTGCTTGCTTGTTTTCTTGCTTTTTTCCTTTCAATTCTGAGATAGGATCTTGCTGTATAGCCCAGGCTGGTCTCAGACTCTCTGGTCCCACTGCCTCAGCCTCCTGAGTGCCAGGATTGTAGGCACGTGCCACAGTGCTTGGAATGTTTTCCTTTGATAGTAGCAGCTACTGCCTTTTACATAGGGTTTTTTTTTTTTTTTTTTTGTTTTTGTTTTTTCCCCCAGAACCGGGAATTGAACTCATTGCCAGGGAAGCACTTATTCTACTGAGCCATCTCCCCGGCCCCTGCAGCTACTACCTTTTAAGCCGACCTTTAAAAAAAAACCTGAAATAATATGAAGCTTTCCTTTTTTAATATTTTCCTTTCATTTTGAGATAAAAGTTTTTTTATGTATTTGATACAGGGTCTTACTGTGTAACTCAGGCTTGCAGTGATCCTCCTGTTTTCAGCCTTCCCAGCTCTGGGATTACAGGCATATGTCACCATGCCAGGTCTCGGTGGCTAGCTCAGCACTGCTGGGGGCGGGGCTGACATGGCATGGGGTGCTGGAGAAGTTAAAAGTTACTGTGATTAGAAATTAATCTGGGTGTCCCAGTAAAGCACTGCTCTATTTAAACTGCATGCTATTTCCTCATTGTCCCTTTCCCAGAGAGTATCATCTGGTGGAATGTTGACCTCTTCATTTCATTGTTATAAAGATAAAATTTACATCAAGCCTTTATTCTGTACATGGCTTTTTTTAGAACCAAAGTCAAGGTTAGCTAAGTTTCACACAGAATACATCGAACTTCATACTAAATTGTGAGATGCTTAGTGAGATGTGTTTGAGGCATAACAAAATACTTCAAACATTTTTTCAAAATATTCAGGAAACATTTTAGTTAAAAACCTACTGTTAAATGGAACATTGCATACTTAGAATGGATAGGAAAAGAATATTTAAAACAGGATGCATCCATAGGAATTTTAACTTCTGACCTTGAAACAAACTTGAAGTCACATTTTTTGTATTTGTAATACGAGCTCTGATTCTAAGGTCGTAAAAATTGCTGGCTGTTGGTGCCCTCCTGACTTGGTGGATAATAATCCGGTAGGTTCCACGTTCTCTGTGAGCATGGTGGGAACCTGCTCTTCGCGTGTCTGTCTACATAACTAGAAACAGTGGGTATCTCTTCTCTGCCTGCAGTCCGGGCGCAGTCACCTGGGTGTCCAGAGGGGCGGGGACAGCCTGGCTCCCGGAACTCCTGCGGGCTCTCTCCAGGACTGCCTCTGTCCAGGCTGCGGAGGAAGTCTTTCAGAACTTGCTTGAAGATGTAGACTATTTCCCATGGCAAGACATCATTTTCTGCCAAAACTTCTCGAAATCTAGGGGAATGTGGGAATGAGTATTCACTTCAGAAAACTTTTTGCTGCGTCCCTTCATCTTCAAAATGTAGCTTATGTAACATAATTGTGCCCTCGTTACCCACCTTTTGAGTAATTTGCACATGGCTTACTAGTATGTGGCTAGTTAAACTTTGATTGTAATTTTAAACATTTCTTACCAGTGAAATACACACAGATAGTTTGGTCTAGTTTATCGCAGTGATTTTGGTTGACAACTATTTAGTACACATGATTGAAGAGTTTACAGCATAATTTACAAATTTCAGTCTAAATATTGAGGAAGTTAGACTTCACAGTAGCTCATAACATAAGAAAAAAAAAATCAGTATTCTTACCTGCTGAGAATAGTTCCAGTTTGGCAAGGCTGAACCTGTGAACAGAGAACTTCCAGCTGTCTTTGTTCAGTAGCTGGGATAGTTGTGTGAGGAGTCTGGTAGTTTCTCAGCCAGTTGTAATCCACACCTGTTTTTCTTGCTTTTTGTTCATATTCTATTTCTTGTATTAATCTCTCACGCTCCTTTAGATGCCATTTTAATTCCCGAAGCAGAGTCTTTGTCACTACATCGGAGTCGGCGTATTGTGTGGGTTTGTAGGAATCAGTTTTTGGCCATTTCATCCAGCCAAAAAGTGGCATTGTTAGCCTGTAGAAATATTCTCATTTGTCTATTTGCATATAATTTTATGGTTCTGATGAGCAAATATTTGTTGACTTACAATAAGATTGCCAGAAAAGTACATGATTTTTTCATGGGTTAGATATGCAGGTCAGCATAAGATTAGAAGATGGATTAAAGTCTTTCAGTTCTAACTAGGTCAGTGCTAAAAAGCAAGCTTTGAAAATACTTTAATATTGCTAAACAGCAGTTGAATACATAAAGTCAGGGATAATCTGTAAAGTGAACAATTTTTGAAAATAACACTGCTATTAAAATTCTCAGGAAGGTTTAAGATATTAACACATTGGGAAGTACCATTTACAAATACTTTTGATTTATGTTTTGTACAGAAAAGGATTAGCACTTACCTGCCAAGCTGACAAAGCTGATGGGAGCTGTTGCCAGTGCTGACTGGAACTGGTGATGGAGCTGTGTTTCATTCAGGCCCCTCCTTCTCCTGCGTGTGTTCTCTGTGGAAGGATGAGCTCCTGATTTGCCCACTGAAACTGTATTTGAAATAAACAACTTTCTTTTTTTTTAAAACAACTTTCTAATGTTAGGAATGAGGTTGTGATGTCTTCACTTGGAGAGAATGCTCATTAATTCACCTTGTAAATAAGCTAGAAGAAATGACAAAAATAACTTACTATTGAATCTTTGTAAGTTATGTAATGCTCTACCTTCTGAATGCACTCATTCTGTTTGAAAGAGATGTGGGCAGTGGCGGGTGCTGGTCCCAAGCACGTCGGACGTGCCTCTGGGAATGAAATGAAGAAGACCGTCCGGAGCACCACAGATGCGCTCCTGGCTAAAGCGGAGACTGTCGCGTGCTGTGGTGCGTTACTGTGCATAGCTGTAGGTCACAGTTTAGTGCTGTATTTTTATGCCTGTAGAGGTCTAAAAATAACCATGTAGCTTTTAGTCTTAAGCTTAACTTCCAGGCCACTTAGAAGCCAGGTCACTGTCCCCTCTGATGAAAGAAGGAAAAATAGATCAGACTTGACTGTGTGCAAAATACAGACTCTAAGGAAGCGTGTTGTAATTGAGCAAAGTAGGCAAAGCATGCTGACATCGCTCAAATGTAAATAGCAAATACACAGCCTGTATTCATTTTTGTTGCGAAATAGTGAATTTACTTAATGTTGAAATGCTAGAGGACATTGTAAACACTTTGCAAGGTATGTGGCGACCTCCTTCGATACACAGTGTTGAGGTGTGGTAAAGGAGAAGCGTAGAGCGTAGAGCTCAGAACACGGCCTTCCAGCTCATCACATAGCGGGTTAGCATCCGGTCCCCGAGCTGCGTGTGAAGCTCTGACGCTTGTGCTTGGGCGAGTGCTGGTGTGCAGAGGCTTCACTGTGCTGGTTTCCTAGTTGAGGATTTTTTCTTGTAGAGTGGATGGGCTCTTAACAGGTCAAGTCTGGTTGTTTTTCCTGGTTTCATTAGATGTAAAGGGTCTTTTCCTTGCTGGCTCTCTGCTAATGACTAGATAGTGGGTTTTTCTTTAATAATTTTTTTGTTGTTGCTTTTTCTTCCAATGAGGTGTGAAGAATAGCATTGTTCACATCAGATCTGTGAGCCATATGCAATCAGGAGTGACATGTGTGGTCATTGTACAGTTCCTGTTACTCGTGCACTGCAGAAACAGACAGCAGGATTCCTTACCCTCGACTACCAGGTGTTCACATTGCATTGCGTATAGTACTAGGAGAAACGAAGAACTGATTTTTATCATTACAGAAATGTCCTAAGAAGTTTTGTACTAAAACTACAATGCATATTGCCTCTTCTTCCTTAGAAGAATCTTGCTGCTGCTAAATTTTTTTTTTTGCCCTGAACTATTAACAAAAACTCCAGAGTCCATTGAATATGGAACATACTCCAGGCTTTCCTCAGAGCCCTCTCCAGTCGGTATTATTACCCCTCTTGCCTAGTCTTCCCTCTCACATGAACCCGGTGCTCTGCTGAACTCCCTCCCTATTTTGTGTCCTCACTTGGGACCCTTCAGCCTCAGGTACTGGCTCTTCTCAAGGATTATTCTTTATTTTCCGTGTAGTTACAGTGTAATTCTGCTTCCCAAGTCAAGTTCACTTACCAGCTCACATTTCAACTCATCCATTCTTTCGTTGGCTCTGTTCTTCACTGAACTCTACTGCTTCCCCTTTTTCCTCCTGCTTTCGGACTTGTTGCTGTTGTCCTATCCTGTACCTGCTGGCATTCAGTTGGTCAATAGTGTTTATTGGCTCCATACCATGGGCTAGAGGGTTAGGGGCTGTGGCGACAACTGTAGTTCCTGCCTTGAGGGGCCTTGTCAGGACATGAGTGATCACAGACCCTCATGTGCTATTGGACACACTGGATGCAGCTCTCCAGTTAGATCTAGAGGATGTGAAGCCCCTCTGGATGGGGCTGTCCTCTGGGCTGGGAAGAAGGGAAGCTCAGTGATTGGTTACCCACACGGCTTCTTGGAGGCCATCTCTTTCTCCACTTGACTTAGTGGACGCCTGTCTGCCTTTGAGACCCTTGCCCACATCTGACCTTCACAGAGCTTTTCTTACTTCCTTTGAACTTACTTGCATGAAACAGTTTCTCTTTTCTTATTTTCTTTTCCCCTCCCTTCCTTCCTGCTTCCCTCCTTCCCCCCCCCCTTCCTTCCTTTTGTACCAGGAATCAAACTCAAGGCTCACACTTGTCAGGCAGGCGCTGTGCTGTTGAGCTACATCCCTGACCCAAAACAGCTTCTCTAGTACTTGGTGTATGCTACTTGTACTGTTCCGCTTTTTAAGTTTTGTTTATCCTGAAGTTGTTAGGTTGAATCAGAGACCAAGTATCATTCTCTGTAGTATTTCTCTTGCTACCATAGAGAAAGAAAACATAAGTAGTATTTTGAAATCAAAATAAGATACATTTTATTAATTTTTCCTTTTTATTAAGGTAAAACCGGGTTAATATTGGTCTTTATCAAATATATTAGTAAGTTCAATAAATAAATGATTTCTAATGAATCAGCTTTTTGTTTTGTTCTGTTCTGAGACAGGGTCTCGCTGTGCAGGTCAGGCTGGCCTTGAGCTTACCTTGTAGCCCGGGCTGGTCTCAAACTTGGAATGACCCTGCCACCTCAGCCTCTTGAGTGCTTAGTGGCTACTTGGGTCCCCCTGTCTGAGCATGAAATAGTGATGCAGGGCTCCTTGACAGAAAGGAACTTGGCGGCCTTTTGGAAATGTCTGTCAGCTGTATAGTCAGCTTTCTGTTGCTCGTTCAAAACACCTGACACAGAGCCGGGGAGATGGCTCAGTGGAATAAGCGCTTCCCTGGCAAGCGCGAGGGCCTGAGTTCAATTCTCAGTTCCGCCAAAAAACAAACAAACCTGACATGGGCAAATTAAGGGAGGAGATACTTATTTTGGCTTGTGGTTTCAGAGATTTCAGTTCCGGTTCATACCAAGTCAGGAACATCGAGGTGGAAGGACCTGGCAGAGGAAAGCTGCTCACCTCAAGGGCGCCTGGGAAGCCGAGCTGGGAACAGCCGAAAGGAAGGGCGCTGCCCCTCAGGCTGTGCAGCACAGCAGTTAGTGGTCTCCAGAGCCAGTCGCTTCTCCAGAAGTCTCTTCATCTGATCATGCTGATAGGAGTATTTGGCACACAAACTTCTGTTATTCTTTTTAGGTCACCCAGCCAGAATTCAGAGGCAGAATATATTAACAAATACAGACAACTCGAAGCCCAAGAATTTGACCTACATGGTAGTGACCAACCAGCGGATGGGCAAGGTAAGCAGCTCTCTACAAATACCTGATAGCTGGTCCTGCTGGAACATGCCTGCAATCCCAGCCGCAGGGAGGCTGAGCCAGGAAGATGCTGGGAGCTTGAGGCCAGCCTGAAGTACCCTGTCTTAAAAAATCCTTAAATAAGATGTGTGAGTGGTTCACACATTAAAACACTATGTCCTTAAAATGTGTAAGAATAAAAAATATTTAAAAATGTATAAGAAATAAAGTATTTTGGTCAAAGTAAGAAATCTATACTGCTTGTTAACTCAGCATCTTTTTTGGAGTTAATGTGTGATAGGTTATAAAATGTTTATTTTTTTGTGTTAAATATAATTCCTAAGTAGTCTGTTCTTTTTGGACTAATAATGAATGATCCCTTGCTTTATTATTCATTAAAACTACTTAATGCTTTTATCTAAAAACTTACAGGAAGGCTGGCGAGATAGCTCGGCAGGCTAAGTGCTTTCTTAGGCAAGTGCTGGGGCTGGGTGTGGTGGTGTGAACCTGTAATCCCAGCGCTGGGCAGACTGAAAACAAGAAGAGCACTACAAGTTCAAGTTGTGTAGTGAGACCCTGCACCAAAAAAAAAAAAAAAAAAAAGAGAAATAACTTACAGGAGTTGAGTTTTTGTAGTGAACATTAAAACAAAATTGGAAAAAAAGAGGCAGAAATGTGTAAAGTAAGAAGTGAAGGGGCTGGGGAGATGGCTCAGTGGAATAAGTGCTTCCCTGGCAAGCACAAGGGCCTGAGTTCAATACCCAGTTCCGCCAAAAAAAAAAAAAA